TTAGACACATATTTTTAAATCCCCTAATGAGAATGTTTTTTTTTTTTTTTTTTCATTTTATGGTCTCTTTCTACAACACCCTTAATATAATAATTGTTACACTTTATTGAAACCTTACTTATTCTTTCAAATGCTTTTCCTTCTATATCTTGCCTGTTTTGTCATTTAGTTTCAGACACCAGATACTCAATTTACATTTCACCATCACTGGTTTCCCTGATAACCCTTTAAAGATAAGTCTAGGATTGGACAGTAATTTCAGGTCAACTACCTGCTACCCAAGGAAACCATGGAGCTTGAACTCAAGTCTGGGTTCTTGTCATTTCTCTACTCTGCCTTCCAATCTGCAGTCTGTTGAATGTATCACAAATACTTGCCCCAGGTCCTAATATTACTCTTTAGTGAGCATTAATAATTAATCCTATCACCCTTTCATGTTCAGTCTATACATGCGGAGCTGTACTCTTCTTCAAGACAGATTATAGGCACTTCGAAGAGGTGAAGACATTCACAATTCCAGCCAAAGGTAGATCTAGGTCTGCTTCCATCCTGAGTGACATTCAAAGCCTTCATTCACCCCACCCCTGAAGGTTCTAGCTTCACAATGCTAATGTGCCAACTGGTGTCCTTCTAAGTTCACTTCTTCCAGTGTTAATGGAAAATAGTAAAAGTTTTTACCTTATTTTTGTTCTGTTTCTAACACAGAGAAGCCCCTAAAGCCTTCTGTTTATAAGACGCCTTTTAGGTTTCCATATTTGTAGTAGTTGTCCAGAACCAAAATCAGCCTGGCTTTATATTTGAAATTTCCTTAAATGTAGAGAAGAGGAAGAGGAAGGAAAAGGCTGTTGTTGCTGTGGAATGCCTATGCACTGAGAACAGCCAAAGAACCATTTTTGGTTTTGCCCAAATTAGCATTGCTAGATAAATTGGGAGCCTTATATCTTTCCAGTTGCCAGGAGAGCATGCCAGCTAATTTTAGCCCGTTGTGTAAATATAACCAGCACTGGTATGCACTGGCCTTTAACATTAACAAGGGTCAATGATGTCCTGCAACAGCCAGAGAAGAGCCGACACTGGCTCAGTATTGACTGAACTCCCTGGGTCGTTAGTCTCCTGTGTCTCCCAGACATATTAATTTTCCTTGGAAGTGACCTTGGGGATCTTTTGGCCTGACCAGTTGCCCAGGGCATGATCTTTTCCACTTCTCTGGGCAGAAAATTGCCACAGCAAAGGTAGCAACATTCTGCAACACTTAAGGCAGGTGCGGTCTCAACATTTTCTCTCAACAGTGTAACTCTCAGGCAGAAGAGCTAAGAATGACATTTTAGAAGGAAATATTGAGTATGATCCTATGTTGTCTTCCTTAAAAAATGCTTTTTTTGGACTCAACTTTTGAAACACCCTGTCCCCCAATGAATATGCTATAGCTAAGTATAATTGTTTTCTAATTGCCAGAAGAGGTCACAATAGAGCTTATACAACTGACACTCTGAATCCTGTCTGCTCTACAACTGGCAGGGGCAGATGATAGTCTCTGGGAGCTGAATACAACTGAAGCAGATGAAAATCACAAAGGAGGAAGCTGCTCCAACCCCTGCAGAGATCAGGCTTTAAGCTATGCATTCGAGGGACAACACTCTGTCTCTCAGTATCCTCATCTGCTAAATTGAAGTCTTTATATACAGTTTCTACCTTTCAGAGATTTTATGGCGCTTAAATGAGTTAATGCATGCCAAACTGTTAGAGCTCTTGGAAAATGATAAATGCTTAATAAATGTTGGTACAGTTTGGACGTTTGTCCCCTCCAAATCTCATGTTGAAATGTAATCCCCAATGTTGGGGGTGGGGCCTGGTGGGAGGTGTTTGGATCATGGGGGTGGATCGCTTATGGATGGTTTGTTGTCCTCCCCATAGTAATAAGTGAGTTCTCACTCTGTTAGTTCACATGAGATACTGGTTGTTTAAAGAGCCTGGCACCTCCCCTCCCCACATCCCTACCTCCTGGCTCTTGCTGTCACCATGTGGTGTGCCCAGCACTGTTTCACCTTCCACTGTGACTGTAAACTTCCTGACACCCTCACCAGAAGCCAAGCGATGCTGGCCCTGTTTCGTATATAGCCTACAGAACCATGAGCCAGTTAAACCTATTTTCTTTATAAATTACTCAGTCTCACGTATTCCTTTATAATGATGCAAAAATAGCCTAATACAAATGTTGGCCATTGTTTTATTGTTTTATATGGATTGAAGTCACAGTTCCCATTTACTAGTTAGAGGACCTAAGCCTTGATTTCCTCATCTGTAAAATGGGCATAAGGAAAAGTCCTACCTCACAAAGTTGCTGTTAGGATCAAATGAATTGAAAGATACAAAGCTTCTGGCTTTTGCCTGGCTCTTGTGTGTGCCCAGGGTGTGGCAGTTCCTCTTGTTTTTTCTTTAGATGCTTAAGAATCTCTTCACTCAGCGATCACAGCTGCTTGCAAACCACTAGGATTATTCCAAAGACAATTTCAGTGTGGCTAAAGACATTAAGCACGAGATGTGTACTGTTCATTTTCATTACTTTTTCTTGATGGTACAGAGAGTGATGATAAATACAAAATGTTTACAAAATATGTAAATATGGAAAATATGTTAAAATAACCACAAAATAGGGTTCAAGAGAGATATTTCCTTTGTCTTGTTTCTGGATTTTGCTTTGAAGGTTTCATTTTGTTTGTTTGGGTTTCATTTTGTTTGTTTTTATCTTAGAGTTAATCACAAGGTTGACAGTGTGATAGAGTGATTGGCCAAAGTGGACTGCTATTCTCGGCCAAAGACCTTCAGCAGACATACATTAACAGAGACAACTGAAAATGGAGAATTATTTATCTGTAGATGTCATGGCCCTAAGAAAGCCTTCCCAGGCTAATATACACTACAGGATAATCCCCCATGTTCTTCTCATTCATTTAAGTATGTGGTCATGGTATTTCTTTTTAGCAGCCAACTGATCCTGCACTGTTTTTGCTTAAACTCATATTAAAATTAGTTTGCATTTCCAGAGGTAGCCAAGCAATTGGAGTAAGATAGTAACATGGAGAGGGAATTACTGTTAAAATTGGCAACAGAACAGCTACAAAGCAAATAACCTAAACACAGACATCAGAAGAAAATTCCTTATTTAAGGTGGAATATTGCTAGATTATTTTCTTTTCATAAAATAAGCACTTCTTTTATGTATACCATTGCTTGTATTAAAAACTCCCAGTTTTTCCTCATTTGTTTCTAAAGACTTAATTCTAATGATAGAGTTACAATGTGTGGTCCTCAGTAAACACTTTTCACTGTAGGTCTTTCCACTCTCCCCATGACTTTCAGGGGAGTTGTGGTCAAACTGTGCTGTTGTGTAATAACGAGCTGTGAAAGGAGGGAGAAATTGCTCCTGTCAAACTTCAAACCTCCATATGAAAATGTTGCATCTTTATGGAGCTAGTGAAAAGAACACAGGCCCAGAAATCAGACATACTTTGAGTTTAAAACCCTGTTCTCTAAACCACAAGTTATCTGACCTAGGATGAATTCCTTACCTCCTCAGAACTTTTTAAGAGGAACTGTGATCCTACTTTGCATTGCTTGCTTTTAGCTCAGTAAAAGTTAGTGCTTTGCATGCCTGATTCGCTTTAAGCTTCGTGACACCTCTGTGAGGTGGGCATTATTATTAGTCACATTTTATATATGAGAAAACTAAAGCTAGTAAGTGATTCAAAAGTTATGCCTTGCTACTGTAAGCCTTCTGCAGTGCTACTAATGAATGTTGCACATGGCTTGAATGACCCTCATGAGAGGATACTGACATGCATGGAGATTTGGTTCACAGATACTCTAAACAGACTGCACCGGTATTTGCCACTAGTGGGAGCAGACAGCAGAAGATGAATTTAGCATCCCTGCATTTGTCCTTCTCTCAGCCCATCTGTCTCCCTCCCTTTTCCTTACTTTATGCTGACAACAATTTTTCTGACCTGCAGGTAATTTAGTTGACTAGAGTGGCTATTCTTTTTAAAATAGTAAGATATCCACCTCATTTCTTCTGTTAATACACTGTCTTCCTCACACCTCACAAAGGCCCATCTGTACATAAATACACATGCATACATACATGCATACATGCACTACTTCTCACCATTCATATGCTGTTATGGCCACAGGGGTGAACACATGACTCTTCTTTGCTGTGATACTAAATTTGGTCTGTTGAGAATCCAACGCCCAGCAACCTAAAATAGGCCTGTCTGTAGCAGGAAATTAAAAGGTCAACATAAAAAGAAGCAGAGACCAACAGAAATGAGAGATGCACAGAAGGCAACTCACATGAGCCAACCAATGGCACCTCCTAAGGAAAAGGCCAACAAGTGCCTGTTTCTGATATCTCTTATGTCTCTGGGCCCAGCCTTCCAACATCCTGATTGTTCACCTCTTTCTTCAGTTCTGTGAGCTTCTCAGTATCCTTCCCAGCCACCTGAACCAGTCAGAGAAGGCAAATGTGAGTTGGGTCTCTGTGTGAGTCCAGCTTTACGTTGCTATAAAAAAAAAAAAACAGAGACTGGGTAATATATAAATAAAGGAGGTTTAATAGGCTCATGGTTCTGCAGGCTGTACAGGAAGCATAGTGGTTTCTGCTTCTAGGGAGGCTTCAGGGAGCTTTTACTCATAGTGGAAGGGAAAGCAGGAGCAGGCATCTTACATGTCTAGAGCAAGAGGAAGGTGAGGGGAAGTGCTGCACAGTTTTAAACAACCAGATCTCATGAGAACTCTATTATGAGAACAGCACCAAAGGGATGTTCATTAAGGATCCATCCCCATGATCCAAATACTGCTTACCAGGTCCCACTTCCATCTTTGGGGATTACAGTTCAATATGAGATTTGGGTGGGGATACAGATCCAAACCATAAAATTCTGTGTCTGGCCCTTCCCAAGTCTCATGTCTTCACATTGCAAAATACAATCATCGCTTCTCAACAGTCTCCAAAGTCTTAACTCATTTCAGCTTTAACTCAAAAGTCCAAAGTCACACCTGAGACAAGGTAAGTCTCTTCTACTTGGGAGGATTTTCCTTGCATCATTGTGCCCTGGATGTGGGACATGGAATCCTTTGATTCCCAAGGGCTTAGGCAGCCCTATACCTGTGGTTTTGCAGGATTTGGCTCCCACAGTTACTGTCATTGGCTGGCATTGAGTCCCTGCAGTTTTTCCTGGTGCACAGTGCAAACCGTCAGTGGCTCTACCATTTCAGAGTCTGGAGTATAGTGGCCATCTTCTCATAGCTCCACTAGGCAGTGCCTCGGTGGAAGCCCCAACCCTACATTTCCCCCCTGCACTCCCCTAGTAGAGGCTCTCCATGAGGGCTACACCCCTTCAGCAGGCTTTTTCCAGGACATCCAGGCTTTCCCATACATACATCCTCTGAAATCTAGATAGAGGCCTCCAAGCCTCAGCTCTTGCGTTCTGTGCACTTGCAGGCTTAATACCACATGGAAATTGCCAAGGCTTAAGCTTGCACCTGTGAAGCATTGGCCCTGGGCCCCTTTTAGCCACAACTGGAGCTGGTGCAGCTGGGATGCAGGCAGCAGTGTCCCAAGACTGTGCAGGGTATTGGGCCCCTTGGCCTAGCCCAAGAAACCATTCTTTCTTCCTAGCCCCCCAGGCTTGTGATGGGAAAGGCTGTCACAAAGGTCTCTGAAATGCCTTTGAGACTTTTACCCATTGTCTTGGCTGTCATTATTTGCCTTTCTTTCAGTTATACAGATTTCTGCAGCTGGCTTGAATTGTTCCCCTGGAAATGGGCTTTTTATTTGCTATCACATGGCCAGGCTTCAAATTTCACAAACTTTTATGCTCTGCTTCTTCTTTAAATATGTCATTTCTTCACTCATGCATGTGGGCATGGGCTGTTAGAAGCAGCCAGGCAACATCCTGAACACTGCTGCTTAGAAATTTCTTCTGTGCCGGGCGCGGTGGCTCAAGCCTGTAATCTCAGCACTGTGGGAGGCCGAGGCGGGTGGATCACGAGGTCAAGAGATCGAGACCATCGTGGTCAACATGGTGAAACCCCGTCTCTACTAAAAAAATTCAAAAAATTAGCTGGGCATGGTGGCGCATGCCTGTAATCCCAGTGACTCAGGAGGCTAGGGCAGGAGAATTGCCTGAACCCGGGAGGCGGAGGTTGCGGTGAGCCGAGATCGCGCCATTGCACTCCAGCCTGGGTAACAAGAGCGAAACTCCGTCTCAAAAAAAAAAAAAAAAAAAAAGAAATTAAAAAAAAAAAAAGAAATTTCTTCTGCCAGATACCCTAAATCATCACTCTCAAGGACAAAGTTCCATAGATCTCTTGGGCAGGGGCACAATGTTGCCAGGTTCTTTGCTAATGTGTAACAAACATGATCTTTGCTCCAGTTCCCAATTAGTTCTTCATCTCCACCTGAAAGCCTCTCAGCCTGACCTTCATTGTCCCTATCACTACCACCATTTTTGTCACAACAATTTAACAAGTCTCTAGGAAGTTCCAAATTGTCCCTCATCTTCCTGTCTTTTGAGCCCTCCACACTCTTTCAACATCTGCTTCTTACCCAGTTCCAAAGCTGCTTCACATTTTCAGATACCTTTATAGCAATGCCCCATTCCTTGGTACCAATTTTCTGTATTAGTCCATTCTTGCACTGCTATAAAATATACCTAAGACTGAGAAATTTATAAAGAAAAAGGGTCTAATTCACTTGCAGTTCAGCAGGCTGTACAGGAAGTAGGGCAGCTTCTGCTTTTGGGGAAGAAACAGGGAGCCTTTACTTATGGCAGAAGGCAAAGCAGGAGCAGCCATATTACATGGCCAGAGAAAAAGGAAGAGAGAGAGGGTGAGTTGCCACACACTTTTAAATAACCAGATCTCAAAAAACTCTATCACAGAAACAGCACCAAAGAGTGCAAAACTGTTCATAAAGGCTCCACCCCCATGATCCAATCACTTCCCACCAGGCTCCACCTCCACCATTTGGCCCCACCTCTACAATTCAACATGAGATTTAAGTGGAGACATAGATTCAAACCATATCAGTATCTGATGTTTGCAACCAAAAACATTGTAATTTAACATACTTAAGTCTTACATCAGAAAGTTGAGGAGAATGAGAATCCTAAATGTTAATTTACTTTTCATTTTTCTGAGGATGACCCAATACTCATTCATTCGACACTCTTACTGAATACCTATTACATGCTAGGCACTGTGCTGAGAGTGTGCAATCCAAAGATGAATTAAATATGGTTCCTGCTCCAAGTCTAGAAGATGAAAACAGACACTGAATAAAAATGCAGTAAAATGTCACCAGTGTTTTGATAAAGGTCATAGGAAACTGTAGGCATAGGAAAAAATAAGTAGTCAATTATTTTCTGGAAGATTCAGGGAAGTCTTCAGAGAGGTGATAATCCTTTATTGACATTTGAATGGTAAGTGTTATCTAGGCCTCTGCTATTCAAAGTGTGGTTTATGAGCCAGCACCATCAGCATTACCTGTTAGAAATACAGAATAGGGGCCAGGTGCAGTGGCTCATGCCTGTAATCCCAGGTCTTTGGTAGGCCGAGGTGGGCTGATCATGAGGTCAAGAGGTAGAGACTATTCTGGCCAACATGGTGAAACCCTATCTCTACTAAACATATAATAATTAGCCAGGTGCGGTGGCACACACCTGTAGTCCCAGCTACTAGGGAGACTGAGGCAGGAGAATTGTTTGAACTCAGGAGGCAAAGGTTGCAGTGAGCCAAATTGTGCAACTGCACTCCAGCCTGGTGACAGAGCAAGACTGTCTCAAAAAAAAAAAAAAAATTGGCTGGGTATGGTGGCACCTGCTTGTAGTCCCAGCTACTCAGGAGGCGGAGGCAGGAGAATCGCTTGAACCTGGGAGGCAGAGTTTGCAGTGAGCTGAGATCATGCCACTACACTCCAGCCTGGCAACAGAGTGAGACTCCATCTCAAAAGAAAAAAAAAAAAGAAAGAAATACAGAATAGGGGCCCCACTCCAGATGTAATGAATCAGCATTTGAATTTTTAAAAAATCTTCGGGTGATTGGTACCACATTAAAGTTTGAGAAGTACTGATTCAGACAACAAGAAGGGTAGAAGAAGAGTAATTTCAGACAGAGGGACTAGTTTGAACAAAGGCTGGTAGATATGATAGAGTATGATGTGTTCATGAGATTGTAAATCATAGCAGAAGATGTGAGGGAGGATACAGCACAAACTATAGCAAGTCCAGACCACAGAGAGCCTTGTAATTCATGCAGAAAGGGCTGGACTTTATCCTACCAGTAATGGGGATCCAGTAAAGTAAAAGTGTGATATAATCAGATTGTATATTTAAAAGTAGAGTAAAGACTTTTCTGGCAAGCAGAGTAATAAGATGGAGTTTGGACATGTTCCGGGATAAAGGGGAGAGATTTGAGGGAAAAGAAAAATAACATAATTTGATTGATTTGATTTGATGCACTTTATTTTAATGTTTCAAAGCTAAATGCCTGACAACAGTGCGGAAGATGGATTGGAGAAAGGGTAATACCAAAGACAGGGAGACCAACTGGTGTAGTTCATATACTGGTAAGTTATAGACGATGAAGATCAAAACTACAACAGTGCAGCAGTAATAGAGAGGAAGATTTGGTTATCAGAGAGAAAATGAGACAGAAATCTGCAGACCTTAGTTGAAAGCTAGAAGCTGCATATGGCAGCTGAGTGGGGCAAGGAAATCTGGCTTATATGATAGAAAAGACGTAATGGAAGACTCCATAGTAGAACAAAAGAAAATAAGTTTTGTTCAGGGTCTGCTGAGTTGAGTCCTCCATAGGACATATATATGGATGTAAGCAGACATGGACACATTAGCAACAAACACTGACCTCACACGTAAGGTCTCTCTTGAGATTCCTCCACTAGAAACTACTTTGCTTACCTAGAAACCATTTAGCTAATTTTACAAATAATTAACTCTGATGAAGAATTCAGTGACTGTGAACTCAGACCATACAACCTAGAGTTGACCTTCCACCTGTTACCTGTTGTGTTAGTCCATTCTCATACTTCTAATAAAGATATACCCAAAACTGGGTAATTTATACAGGAAAGAAGTTTAATTGACTCACAGTTCAGCATGACTAGGGATGTCTCAGGAAACTGACAATCATGACATTAGGAGAGGCAAACAAGTCCTTCTTCACATGGTGGCAGCAAGGAGAAGTTCAGAGTGAAGGTGGGGAAAGCCCCTTATAAAACCATCAGATCTCATGAGAACTCACTCACTATCATGAGAACAGCACGGAGGTAACCACCCCCCATGATTAAATTACCACCCACCAGATCCCTCCCTTGACACATGAGGAATATGAGAACTACAGATGAGATTTGGGTGGGGACACAGTCAAGTGATATCATTCCACCCCAGCCCCTCCCAATCTCATGTCCTCACATTTCAAAACACAATCATGCTTTTTCAACAGTTCCCTGAAAGACTTAACTCATTTCAGCATTAACTCAAAAGTTCAAGTCCAGTCTCATCTGAGACAAGGCAAGTCCCTTCCACCTATGAGCCTGTAAAATCAAAAGCAAATTAGTTACTTCCTAGATACAATGGGGCTATAGGCATTGGGCAAATACACTCATTCCAAATGGAAGAAATTGGCCAAAACAAAGAGGCTACAGGCCCCATGCAAGTCCAGAATCCAACAGGGCAATAGTTAAATCTTAAAGCTCTGGAATAATCTCCTTGGACTCTATGTCTTATATCCAGGTCATGGATACTTGCTCACTATCCATGAAGGTAATCGACATGAAGGTAATCGCCCCCATGATTCAATTACCTCCCATCACGTCCCTCCAACAATACATGGGGATTACAGGAACTACAATTCAAGATGAGACTTGGGTGGAGACACAGCCAAACCATATCAACTGTGTTTACTGTACACTCAGCAGGGAAGGCCATCGAAGAGTCGGCAGAACTCAGAGTGTGACTGTGGGGACAGAAGAAGAGAACTTCTTTCTGTTCTCCCTAAATGCCCCAGCTTCTTGAAGCCTTACCTATAGTTCACTTTAAGAAGTAACAATGAAGCATCTACCATAAGCCAAGCACTGTTAGGCACTGGGAATATGACAATAAACAAGAAAATTCTCAGCCTCATTGGGCTTACATCTAGCAAGAGAGACAACAGTTAAATTGAAAATAAATGTGGCAGATCAGTTCTCCCTTCAAGAAAGTACTTGCTGCCCAGCTCTCAAGAGTGTAGCTAGCTGACAGCCCCCAGTACTTAGCACCTTTCAGTCTTCCCCAGTTTTCAGGCCAAGACCACGCATTCTTACAGTGACTCCTAGACAATGGCTGGGCAAAGCAGTGGTATCTGAGAGCAGGCACATCTTAGAGTTACCCTCAGCTAGAGTTGCCAGATTCAGCAAATAAAAACACAAGACAGCGAGTTAAATTTGCATTGCAAATAAACAGCGAATGTTTTTTAGCATAATTGTGTGCCAAATGTGGCATGAGAAAGACTTACTTTAAAAAAAACTCATTGTTGGCTGGGTGCAGTGGCTCACACCTGTAATCCAAGCACATTCGGAGGCTGAGACAGGTGGATCACTTGAGCCCAGGAGTTTGAGACCAGCCTGGGCAACATGGTGAGACCCCATTTCTACCAAAAAATACAAAAATTAGTTGGATGCAGTGGAGTGCTCCTGTAGTCCCAGATACTCAGGAGGCTGAGGCAGGAGGATCACTTGAGCCTGGGGCAGAGGTTGCAGTGAGCCAAGATCTGCACTCCACCCAACTTGCAAGAGTTGGTGACAAGAATGGTTTGAGAGAGCATGTGGTAAGATAAAGGCTTGGGAACTGGATCACTCACTGCTTCACTGGTTGTAAGGACACCATGCCTGTTGGTAGGTGATATACAGACAGCCCATGGCATGAGATGGAGGTCCAGTTGTTAAAAGGTTCACCAGTGGTAGACTGGGATGGCATGTAGGTAGAGAGGAATGCATTGTTTCAAGCATTGGAATGTAGGGGAATCTCTAAGTATGAGAATAATAGAATTTGCTGATTATTACTAAGTGACATTGATGCCCTACATTAGGATAATGAAAATCTGAGAATAGTTAACAAACCACTGAAACTAAGTATGCAAAGAGTTTCTACAAAGAATCTCTCTTACTGTGAGTGAGCAGAAAAAGCTGAAGATGAGGCACAGGATCTAATAGAGTTACTAAATTTCAAAGACAATTGAATGCTCAACCGAAGCACGGCTGTTAGACCAAAGTCAGGGCCCTAGTTGGCAAAACCTGGGATTCTAACACATGGGATTGAAACATTTGGATGGATGTTCCTAGATTCCTCTGAACCTTCTGAGCCTGTAGGGGTGGCTCACCCTTCGCAATTAAGAGCTAGCACATTCATTGTGTCGAAAGATGATACAAGGAGCTTTCCCCAAAAAGGGAATAGGTGGCTCCCTCCTCCACTCCTGGACATTAGCACAAATCACAACACATCTGAGCCGGGAATATGCTGGGCCTGATAAGGAGAAAAGTGACCACAGCCCAAAGGAGTTGCAAGATGGCATCAGGGTGAGCCATCAGGGATCAGAGTGCTTGATCAAGATGGCTGGAGCATAAGTCTGGATAAGGGAGTGTTGCCTTTTTTTTTTTTTTTTTTTAACTTGAGTTCACTTGTCACTTTGTTGAGATACAGGATTTAATGCCCCAGGAAATGATGCAAACTTGCTTCTGAAAACTTGCTGCTAGGGTAGCTCCTAGAAGCCTAGAGAAAGTGAGACCCCCACTGAGAGGCTGAAATGCCTGCTTGCCATGGAAGACACAGGGGAAGTGGTTAAAAGGCTCGGGGAAGTACGATTGCAGGAATGGGTGTATTATGCGAGGCCAGAAAGTCAATCAGAGGACACATCATTTACCAAGGGCATCAGGAATGTGGGGCCAGTGTTAACAGTAGAAGAGTCTGTCACAGAACTTGGCTCACTGATGGCAGTGGGGCTTGTGGGTTCTCCCAAAGCAATTGATGCCAGATGGTGGTACTTAACCACCAGAAGCCAGGTGATTATAATTATCATAACAACCAACAAGAACAGAGTGGCAGTTAAGAGGGCCTAACCTATAGATCATCAGATCATCATAGAGATGGTGAATAGAACTTAGCATTCTTAGGAACAAAATAGACAGCCAGCAAGAGTGCTGTTTATCATATGTTTTACATGTATTACATATATGTTATATATGTAATCAAAAGAGAGGAAGAATGGGTGAGCAGGAGGCTGAGGGCAGTTGCCTCAATAAAGAGTCATAATAACTTTGCCAAATTTCCAGGCCTGAGCTGATTTTCAGATTCAAAACCTGTTGGTTAAAGAGGTAGCTAGGTCTGCAAGGGGAAGGACCCTACAATACCTCGGCAAGTACACACTGTGATGATTCCCAATGTCCTTCTCCAAAGGAACCTATTGCCATTGACTTGATTGACTTTACACTGAGAAAATAAAAATGGCCAAACCTTCCAACAGCTGTTGGAGGCAGGATCTGAACTGTCATTGATATGTAAAGACATAAAGCATCATCATGGGCTCCTGTGAGAAGTAGGGAACATGAGTGTCAGGCAATAAATAGACTCCTGGCGGAAGTATGGTTTATAGTGCGTCCATTGATCCATGGGCTCACATAGTGGTCATTTTTCCTGTCCAAAAATGTATTATTGGTATTATTATACTTGGCAGTTGATGTAACTTTCTCATTAGGTCCTTGGGTTTTAGACAAGAGTTGTCATAATGGAGAAGGCCAAGTGGAAGTCTCAGAAATTGCTAGCTATGATAAGTAAATCAAAAACAGTATTGCATCCCGGGGGAGTAGGGAGATTAAAGATGAAAGGATGCAGGGATGGTGGTCTCTGTCATATCTCCATTTAATTCCTTAGTCTGGTCCCTAAAAAAACTGAATCAATCCTAGAAAATGACTGTAGACTACCATAAGTACAACCAAGTAATGACCTTGATCATATCTGCTGTGCCTGACATAATACCATTGTGGGAGCAGATAAATATGGCCTCGGGTTTATGGTACCCAACCACCAATTTGGCAAATGCATGCTTTTCAATCCCAAATAGAAAAGGCCATCAGAAACAGTTCACATTCAACTAGATTGGGCAACATTATACACTTAACAGTTTTTCTCCTTCTCTACAACTCCCGGCTCTGAAGGGTTAGAAGTTCTGGCCCCACAAAGGGATATACTCTCAACAGGGACACAGCAAAGATGTTGCTAAACTATAAATTTGGTTGCTGCATGGGCACTCTGGCCTCCTTGTGTTCAGAGGTCAGCAGACAAGAAGAGGAGTCATCATCTTGTCAGAGATAATTGACCCTGACCATCAGAAGGAGGAAGAGCTCCTTTTATATTGTGGGGAGAGGGAGGAATATGTGTGGAACCGTATTCCTGACGGACCCGGGGTCCTCTTAATACCCCCTCAAGCAGTTGTGACTATGACTGGACAAAAGCAGCAACCTGGTCTAAAATAGGCATAGTTACCAGGGGTTTACCACTGGGTAGGCTACGCAGACCAGCAAAGGTAGTAGCTGAGGGCAAAGAGAATTTAGAATGGTTGGTGAAAGAGGGGACAATGAGCATGGGTTAGCCCCAAGACCAACTGCAGCAATGAGGGGCTGCAGTTTGTCCCTCTTTCTTCTAGGTTTTCCCTTAGGAAGAAGGGACTACCAGAGCCTTGGAAAACTGCCTCTTGCACAGTTTAAGGGATGAACTGTGGCAGAAATGTGGCAGAGATGTGCTGCTCAGATCCCTCTTCAAAAAAACAACCTCATTGCTTGGCTTTGAGGACTGTCCTTGGCTGGCAACTCTTAAGCTTCTTTAGAGTCGATTCTCTTCATGGTAGCCCCCAGCAAAAGACAGAGCAAGGCCTGGCTAATTCCATCTAAAGCTCTAGTATGCAGTCTACTCCAGAGATCCCTGTTGGTCAGCAGAGATCTGCCACATGGTCTGGAGGCTGGTTGCCTCCTTCAACCATGCTGAACAGTACTCCCCTCCCCGCAAAAAGGTATGTCTGTATCCTAATTTTAAGAATCTGTGGACATTACCTTATTTCAGAAAAGGATATTCTTTACAGATGTGATTAACTTGAGGATTTTGAGATTAGGAAACCATTCTGGATTACCCAGGTGAGCCCTAAATGTAATCATGTGTATTCTAATAAGATAAACAAATAGAGGAAAAAGACAGACACAGAGAAGAGGAGAAAGCTATGCGACCACTGAAGCAGAGACTGGAGTGCTGCAGCCACAAGCTAAAGAGTGCCTGGAGCGGCCAGAAGTGAAGGAAGAGATTCTACTCCCCACTCCCAGCCTTTGGAGGAAATGCAGCCCTGCTGATACCTTGATAATGAACATCTGGCCTCTAGAATGTCAAGATAATGAATTTTATTGTTTTCAGCCAACAAGGTGATAGTGATCTGTTGTGGCAGCCCTAGAAAACGGATACACTCCCCTTTTCTTTCCAGAGTCTCTCCTCAATTTTTTCTACTCATAACTAGGACTCTGCATCC